AGATAATGGTCAACTGTCCAATATAAAAAGGGACATGCTGTAGAAATAAAGTGTGACACTTCTTCAAAACGCTCCCCGTGTCTCCGCTTCTTCCCCGCCTGGCAGACTCTGTCCTCACCTGAGGGAACCCCTGGACCAGCGGGAGCTGGACTCCCACGCTTAACTAACCCTGACTCCCCCATAAAGAACTTGGACCTTTTTAATACTGAATATTGACTTCTGGTTCCTTCACTCTGTCCCTTTGTAAGTCTTCAGTACAACAAGGTAGTTGTCCGTTTGCCGCATTAAAAACAAAATACAAAGCTGACATGCTGGAGAGGCATCACAAGCATAGTGGCCAGCCTTCTAAATTCCGCTTGAGTTCTGCCTTTCCTCTGTCGTCATCTAACGGGAGGCGGCCGTGCTCTTCACCTGAGACCTTTGGGTACATGCGCCACATAGAGGCTTTGTCAGTCCTGCTCTTGCTGCATGTTCTCTGCCTGGCGTAGCTTTTCCCAGCCCTGAGCTGGTCCTTGATGCAGGGGTCCTGCAGCTCGCCACCCGCCCCTCATGCACAGAGGGAGCTCCGTCATCTTCAATATCAAATAAGAATAAAATCCAGGGGCGGCCGGTTAGCTCAGTTGGTTAGAGCGTAGGTTCATAATGTTGACAGAGAGTGGACCCTTCTCGGTGCAAAGTCCAGGTCGTTGGCAACTCGAGCAAAGAATTGAATGAGATGCTGGAGTAAAGTACTGAAAAAGTAGTTTATTCGAAGAGATAGTACATTCCAAAGAGTTTGGAGCGGCTCACGCGCACAGACAAGGCCCAAAAGGCTCAAAAAAGGGAGGAAGGGGTTCAAAAAGGGAAGAAGCGGTCAAAAAGAGCAGGGTGGACTTCCCAGGACTTGGAGTTTTTATCCCCTTTCTCTAGAATGGGCTGTTCCCCTGTGGGCGTGGGACCACTTGATTAGCACCTGTGATTGACAAGAGGTACTGAGCAGGTGTGAGTGACTGATCTAATCCAGTCAGGTATTTTGTGCCCATTTGCTTTGCTGCAGGGGTAGGTAGTTACAATACCAAGGGGAGTTTTGGGTGGAGAGGGGATGTCCCCTTGGCGGTCGCACTCTGTCGGACGTGCAAGAATACAGAGACCCAATGCTTGCCTCTAACTGCCTGCCTTGTTTTTCCCTTGAGAGACGTGATCCCCATAAATTCTCTGTGGGAAGCTGAGGGACAGGAGGTCTCTTCTTCTGTATCTGCTTCCTGCTGGGCAGGGGCGTAGAGCTGTCCCTGCCTATTGGGGGATTCACGGAACTCTCACCCTAGCCGATCTCACATGAGAGGAAGGGGTCTCGAGATCCGCCTGGAAAACCGCGCTGGCTTCTTTGGTTGTGACTGGCAATCTTGTTGGGGTGTCCTCTGTATCCTCAAGGTCCCTGAATGAGGAAAAATAGATTTTAATTAATAAATCTGTTAGCTCTTATGAAGCCCGTGGCCATTCAGCCTGTAACTCAGGTGGCGTCAGTTGTCTGGGCCCAGAATGGTTTTGGTTTTTAGTTTACTGGCCTGGGGCATATTAGGAAGTCAGAGGCTTTCAAGTAGTTACCTGAAGCAGGGATAGGATACTTCTATTGTTTAGGATTCAGAAACTGATTTACAAGGCAATCAAGAAGCAGGGGGATAGGAGAATTCTAGGATTCAGGCTAGGAGCAACCTTTAGCTTAGGAGTCACAGACTGATGTGAAGAGGCTTAGCCAGAGGCTAAGAAACTAGGGAGGAGACTTAACATTTCTATACTTAACATTTCTATAGGAAAGAACACTTAAAAGTTTCTCGGTGGGGCGCTGCTCAGTTGGCTGGTAACAATAACACAAGGATTGCCAGGTTCCATTCACACATGGGCCAAGGGGCTGCGCCCTCCACAACTAGATTGAAACAACTACTTTACTTGGAGCTGATTGGTCCTGGAAAAACACTGTTCCCCAATTTTAAAAAAAATGAATAAAATAAAATAAAAAATAAAAGAGGGGGGGAAAAAGGTTAAGATGGTAAATTAAAAAAAAAAAGAAATCCAGAGTAGGTGTATCTTATGTTAAAAACAAACGCTTAGATTATACTGTTGATTGTTTCTGTACCTTACAATTCTGTTGTAGGGCATTTATTTTAACAGAAGGCTACACTCAGGGAAGTCAGCTCCAAAGAACAGATAATGTTTGGGGGTAGGGAGGAGTATATAAGATGGAAGAACCAGAGCCCTTTCTACCCCTACATTTTAGACCAAAAAAGGAGTGGGGTGTAAACCTTAGTTGGAGGGTGACATATCTGTGTTAAAGAAG